AATATTTCTAATGTATTATCTGAAAACTTTAAAAAGTTTATACAGTAAATTTAAAGGCTTTTTCTACAAAATACAGATATAATTGTTTTAAATGTATCTACTGTAACTTATTTGGTCACTACTGTTACAAAATCAGTCGTTACAGAAGTGACTGTTACATGAGTGACATAATAAAAATTATTCAATGTAAATATCAGTAAAAGTAAAAACAACACATCCCTTATAAATCGATTTTACAAAATTCTAATTGGGACTGTAAATGTACAGTACTGACAATTAAAACATACTACTCGTTACCCGTGATGGGCATAAAAAACGCACGTACTTACCAACAGAAGTATGCATTTTCCAAAATATGCAAACAAGACAATCCCCTGTGGCACCTCGTGTGTAACTATTTAGAGACATATCTTTATATTAAAGGCTTTGTTTTATTTTTAATAGCTAGGGATCAGTTTTTAGTTTTACTGTTTTTGATTATTTTACGGGGAGAGGGGGCAAAACTTTTAGGTACAAATTTCAAATTTTAAATAATTATGCAAAAACTGTTGTAAATGAGCGTTTTACATCATAATTGACTGGCTTATACATGAAATAAAGCGAAAATGGTATGTTTTTGACAGTACAATTGCTGTTATTTTTGTAAAGGGACAGCACTAATTGGCTCTAATTGACAATTCTGATAAAATTTTGAAGGGTTTATATAACCGTTAAAAACTGGAAAATTATGACATTTCATCTGAACATTTCGTGTCCATTTGCATTTGTAGTAAAATCTCTTAAATATACAAAGTGTTGGCCGTAGGACAGAAAATGCTGCTAAATTATAGAATAACTCATATACTTTAATAGAAATATTTATGAGAGTTAAATATAATTGCCTTGCAGCCGTATGCGGAAATTCATTTTTTTAATTTGCTGAACATGCACTTTAAAATTTACTATTCGAATTTGTCATTGCACCCCCCAGCCAAAAAAAAAAAAACGAAATGCACCATTCAGTGTTATTTTTGCACAATTCCTGCATTATTTCAACAATCCTGCATTACGGGATATATGCTGTATCTATTATGTAATTTTTAATCTCATTTCTTGAACAACAGAACAAAACAGGTCGTTATATATTTGCAGACCTTTGTGGTCGGTAAGTGATTTACTAGACCGTTTGTAATAAAAGGTAAATGTTGGTTCTAGTAGAAAAGGCAGAATCGAAAGTCAAATATTAACATGAATAAAGTTTGTATATTTGAATATAATATGTTTATCAAAGTATTATAAAATATTAATTCAATAAGTAATATTTAATGTTCACAAGTAAATAGCTCACAAATTGATCTTAAAATAATGAGTAAACTATAAATATATTGCCAGAAAATAAATTGAATATGAAACGAGCGTGTACGAACTGTTATTTTAAATATGTTCGTACTGACTGAGTAGTAGTAGTAGTTGTTGTTGTTGTTGTTTTATTTATACTCGGCGTCGGCCGAGATGAATCAGCGTCCATGCCAGTCCACTAGTAGTAATCGGGGATGTCTTTTCAACCCGAGTCTTCCAGAGCCTATTCTTCTTTCATTGGTCGTTTTTGGAGGTACATGCACGACAGTACTGACAAGGCATCATTTTTATACGGAATGCCGTTAGGGCCATTGCCTATGAATGTGTTGATCTGAAACGCGATAGTCGATAGTACGATGGTGAAAACGCGAAATCACGAAACTACGATGGTGAAAATGCGAAAGTACGATGATGAAAACGCGAAAGTACGATATTGAAAACGCGACAGTACGATACTACGATGATGAAAACGCGATAAACAATCGTGTTTTCACCATCGTACTGTCGCGTTTTCACCATCGTAATTTCGTGATTTCGAGTTTTCATCATCGTACTGTCGTGTTTTCATCATCGTACTATCGCGTTTTCACCATCGTACTATCGCGTTTTCATCATCGTACTGTCGTGTTTTCATCATCGTACTATCGCGTTTTCACCATCGTACTGTCGTGTTTTCATCATCGTACTATCGCGTTTTCATCATCGTACTATCGCGTTTTCATCATCGTACTTTCGCGTTTTCACCATCGTAGTTTCGTGATTTCGCGTTTTCACCATCGTACTATCGACTATCGCGTTTCAGATCAACACATTCATAAGCGATGGCCCTAACGGCATTCCGTACTTTTATGACGGCAACATAACAAAAACGGCTAATGTAAGCGCCACCCTCCCGAGTTAGTCATGACATGTCAACCAATCGTCTCTGGTACTTGAGGTTACTTGACTTTGACCTGCCGTGTGCCTTTTCCGGGACATGCAGCCTGGGGAGGGTTCTGCAGAAGACAGGCTAAATAAAAGTGATATAAGGCATAATACGCCTGTATATCTGTAATAACTAGTTTATTACTGCATGAATTTAATGAATAAATAATAAAATTCAATGGTTGATATAAAATATATAGATTAACAGGATCGATAACTCTTATAAAAATACAGTAACTAAGTTGTTACAGATATCACATTGTAAACGTTGGTAGTGATTACTTTGTCAATCTCAAGTATCTGAACGGGATCTTAAGAGCCATTGTAAGTTACAAAATACGTGATTTACTGTTTCACAGCCTGCCCAGGAATTATGAGGCGGCTAAACTCTGCTCTGGAAAATACAATGTTGTTTAAACTGCCGTGATCCGGAGAGTAAACTACCAACATCACCATTGCAAAATAAGGAGAAAGTCTGAACCCTATTCTCATGATTCTCCGACTTTGTTTTTTGTTCTCATTGCTCGATCAGATCTCGGTGGATACTTTCCATAAAATGAAATATCAATATTTACATGCAGATTTTTTTTTTCAAAGTATCTTAGAGTCATATGTTACTGTTGATTAAGAAATAATTTATTTAATTGATCAATCAACGCCTTTAAAGACACAATAAAATCAATTACATATGTAATTTGCGTCATGCTTTTTCGATAACTTTTGCTGCAGTTGCATCATCATCGTACTATCGCGTTTTCATCATCGTACTATCGCGTTTTCATCATCGTACTATCGTGTTTTCACCATCGTAGTTTCGTGATTTCGTGTTTTCACCATCGTACTATCGACTTTCGCGTTTCAGATTAACACATTCATAGGCGATGGCCCTAACGGCATTCCGGAATGCCGTTAGGGCCATCGCCTATGAATGGTTTGATCTGAAACGCGATACTCGACAGTACGATGATGAAAACGCGAAATCACGAAACTACGATGGTGAAAACGCGACAGTACGATGGTGAAAACACGATAGTTTATCGCGTTTTCATCATCGTAGTATCGTACTGTCGCGTTTTCATCATCGTACTATCGCGTTTTCATCATCGTACTTTCGCGTTTTCACCATCGTAGTTTCGTGATTTCGCGTTTTCACCATCGTACTATCGACTATCGCGTTTCAGATCAACACATTCATAGGCGATGGCCCTAACGGCATTCCGTACTTTTATGACGGCAACATAACAAAAACGGCTAATGTAAGCGCCACCCTCCCGAGTTAGTCATGACATGTCAACCAATCGTCTCTGGTACTCGAGGTTACTTGACTTTGACCTGCCGTGTGCCTTTTCCGGGACATGCAGCCTGGGGAGGGTTCTGCAGAAGACAGGCTAAATAAAAGTGATATAAGGCATAATACGCCTGTATATCTGTAATAACTAGTTTATTACTGCATGAATTTAATGAATAAATAATAAAATTCAATGGTTGATATAAATTATATAGATTAACAGGATCGATAACTCTTATAAAAATACAGTAACTAAGTTGTTACAGATATCACATTGTAAACGTTGGTAGTGATTACTTTGTCAATCTCAATTATCTGAACGGGATCTTAAGAGCCATTGTAAGTTACAAAATACGTGATTTACTGTTTCACAGCCTGTCCAGGAATTATGAGGTGGCTAAACTCTGCTCTGGAAAATACAATGTTGTTTAAACTGCCGTGATCCGGAGAGTAAACTACCAACATCACCATTGCAAAATAAGGAGAAAGTCTGAACCCTATTCTCATGATTCTCCGACTTTGTTTTTTGTTCTCATTGCTCGATCAGATCTCGGTGGATACTTTCCATAAAATGAAATATTAATATTTACATGCAGATTTTTTTTTCAAAGTATCTTAGAGTCATATGTTACTGTTGATTAAGAAATAATTTATTTAATTGATCAATGAACGCCTTTAAAGACACAATAAAATCAATTACATATGTTAGTTGCGTCATGGTGTTTCGATAACTTTTGCTGCAGTTGCATCAACATGTAAAAATAACCATGTAACGATATTTTTTCTTCTTTTATTTTTTTCATCTTTTCATTTTTTCGCTTTTTCAGAATTGATGGACATGAAAGTATCAAATTACACTTTTCATTTTCAAAAGATTGACGCTAAACCTGGTTTCCCCGGGGTTAAGCTATTGAATAATATCACATTTCCACTCTATTCACCGATGATTTACAAACAAACACATATATAAATTTATGCTCAGTGTTCAAAAATGACGTACATACATGTAGCGTAGGATTAGTTTACACTTCTTGTCCATTTATAAAAAAAAATGTTGTATAAAATTTAAATAAGTAAAATACTTAGAGCTCTAGTTACCATATAAAAATGATAAGAAAGATCTAAATATGTCTGATTCATGATATAAAATCTGGGTGCATGGTTTGTAGTCTTGATCACCCTGAGAAAAAAATTTAGAATCTCAAATATTTCAAATTTAAAAAATTACTACCTTGAAATAAGAGAGACACATATTTCTCTGTTTTTAAATAACTCGCAATTTTATGTTTCTTTTTTTAACATGTATCAACTTGCATTAGAATTTGTTTAAAAATATGACTACATTGTATTTTAATGAAATGTACGGTATGGTACGGTTCTTGAACTTTACGGTACAGAACGGTGGGCTCTATTTATATCACTGAATATCGCGCGTCACTTTACGAGATTTGTCGCTAAGGTAAGCAAACAGGTGCGCGTTCTGTTGATGCAGGTAAACTTTGCTTAAAATTTTACTGTTTTAGTTTTTTTCCAAACAGCCTTTAATAAGTAATTTGAAATATCTTATTGAGATCGAAATGGGATTTTTTAAGCACTGAAATCATCTGGAATTTCTTTATTTGAATCATCACGCTTTAACATGGAAGTCCAAATGTCGTTTGCTATTAATTTCGTCCCCATTTATTTCGTACCTTGTGTACTATTATGTCGTTGCAGGGCTTTTTTTCACAGTTTGGGGAAGCAGCCCAGTCCTTAATTTTGGGGAAAAATTACATGGTATATTTGCAAAAGGGGAAGAAAAAACTTAATGTAAATTCAATTTTTGGGGAAAACTGCATGATTTTAAAGAAATTTTCTTTGGGGAAGCAGCCCTATACCGGCCCCTGTTATAGAAGGTAAAAAGGCCCTGCGTTGTTTGTCGTCATGATGCGCTATTAATTATGTCAGATGTAATAATCCACAATTGAAAATTATTGATTGGTAGTTAAACATTGTCAGTTCTTGAAATTCAAAAATATAGGTGACTCCCCCCCCCCCTCGTTAAAAAAGTGGGCAATTTCCAAAAACAAGGGGTGCCAACAATATTGGTTATATCAAGCCAGGACTCCTGGCTGGTCTTTTTTCAAGAACTTGCTCCAGATAGCCTCGTTTTCAGGTGTAATATAGCTACTGTTGAACTGTACGTTCATGAGAAAGAGTGCCTGAGTTTGACTTGATTTCAATTTTGTCTGCACTTTGTTAACACAGAAATCACAGAAAACACAGTCATCTATTGATATTCTTTTATGGATGATATTTATTTAAGGTGACAAGAATTGTTCAACTGAATTTTTTTCAAGGAAAATATTGCTTTTATTTATATTAGATCAACAGTTCTTTTAGGCTTACTGGAAATTTTACACTTTTTGAGAAAGTTCATCAATTTGGGTGCAGGATTTTAACACACATGTTTCAGAAATTTGCATGAACTTTGGAAAATAGTGTGAATCACACTATCATGAGCTCTAAAATAGACACTCAGGTTACATTTAAACAATGACGAGGGGATTATGTATATTTTCTTGACAATTCCGATAGAAAAAAGCATACCTGGTTGACATTCAGATGACCCCTGAAGATTTAACACCTTAACCATTTTGCTAGTTTTTACACACTTAATTTACATTTAAAAAGTGTCATTACACTCTTGCACCTTTTTAATAATTCTAGACAATGTCACTTTAAAAGATTTACCACAAAATGTCTGAGAAAGGATCAAGAACAGGAACCCCTAAGGGGTCACTTAAAGGCTCAAAGGCAGGAACACCTAAAAGTTCAAAAGCTAACACACCTAAAGGATCAAAGAGTAACACACCATTGCCTGATGGTGGTGCAACATCTGAACAAGAACAAGATACAGGTGCGCATCTTTTTCATTTTAACTAATCTTTTGAACCCCAGAATTGAAAGTGTTGTGGCACTATATGAGAGGAGGCTCAGTACTGCAAAACCTTATTACTTACTTTTGCTTAGGGAATACATTTAACCCTAAACCTGCCATACTTTGATAATGAATTTGCTTATTTTGATTTTGGAACAGTCCATTAAAAGTTAAAAGGATTTTGATATTAAAACATTAGGACTAAGCTACCAACAGTATAAAGCCTAGTCAAGACTGCAAAGGTGTGTAGACTGTCTTGGCTCTATTCTGGTAGCAAAGACTAATCTCTTTGGGCTCCAGAAGGTTAAGGGTTAAGATGTTTGAATGGGTGTAAAATATTTTTTTCGGTGTATTAGGGGAAATATTGATTTTAAAGGGCATATATACATGTATGTCATACAGGAAGTAATGAATCTTTGCATTTGTTATTTTAAGTTTTATTAATTTCAGTTGCTGTCAATGGTACAGCTGAGGATGCCCCAGTGGTGGAAAATGGTGAAGTTGAAGAGACTGATGGTGCAGAGGTTAAACCAGTAGATGAGGGTGAAGCAGAACCTGAGGAGTTCAAACCAAGTGTGGTCCGTATTGTTTTGGGCTAGTTACTATCTATTTTGCAAAATTTCTTACATTTATTTACCTTTTATGTTTATAATAGTTGAAGTTGACACAGTTCAAGTCGTGCAACATTTTGTAACAATTTATTGTGTTAGAATAATTGATAAACTTAGCTTAAATTCTGAATCAAGTAAGGATTATTCAAATAAAAAAAAAAACCCAGGTAGAAAAGTGCTAATGTATATGTGCATTAATTGTGTGTATAAAACTGCTTGAAATGTTTGCAAAAACATGATTCAAATTAGGCTGATGGCCTAAATAATGTTTTGGAGAAAATTACATGACTATCCAGTCTTAACGCATTCAGTTAAGTCAACACATCCCAGCAGTCTAGTTTTATTCATGACAGATGATGGTTAGTTTCATTATCTTAATATTAAAGTCTTTTAAAATATAAACAGTGCCAAATTGAAAATTCAAACATGTTCAATGCATAAAATTTTACCGTAACTTTGAACCAATTTCAAAGTTTTTGGTGGTTGTAAATTTTAGATTGATATGATAAAGAACAGGGCATCTGTAGCTAATCTGAATCAAGAAGAATGGACAGCTGCACATGAAGAGGTTATCAAGAAGTTCATAGAGGATCCAACATTTAAGTTGGTTGTTGCATACCATGATCAGTACAAGGGATTTGTTGTGGACCAAATTGTACCACCCCACCCTCCAGATCAGGTGTCTTACTTTATCAAACAAGAAAATACTGAGGAGATTACTGCAGAAAACTTTTTAAAGGTTTGTTGTTTTTGTTGTTGTTTTTTTTCTTTAAATTATCATAGGAGATTACTGTTCTTTATTGGTATTAGTTAATTTTATAAACTTATAGTGATATCTATATCTGAAAAATCAAACGCTTTACTTTAGCAATCCTTACTGTTAAAGTTCTGTTCTGATAGAATTTATGTTTGGTTAGACATACACATACATATCAGCGATGTACATGTATGTTTAGATCAGGACTCTTATCTTATGCTATTTTAAGTAATTTTAAACTTGCATAGAAATTCATATGATTTTGTTGGTGAAGAAACTAATTAACCAACTGAAAACTTTGTATGACTAATTTCAAACATATATCTTATTTTTATTTCCAAAACATTGGTATATAGAGTTAAGTGATTTATTGGAAATTATATTTTTTTTTCAAAATAAATAGAGTAATGTTTTATCAACTTTGGGTATGAATTTGTTCATTAAGTTTGCTTACATCATGTGTATGAATATATCAAGGTTTAATGTATACATAAATCAAGGGGTATTTTTTTTATTGCTTTTATCAGCTATAATCATTGGCACATAACCAAAGGTATATACAGATTTTAAATACCAAGACATTTTTTTTCTGATCAATATTAAGACATTCTAACATAGATAAAATTATTTACTTACTGTTCATAAATCATTTGTCACAATGTGCAATTTCTTCCTTTATCATGAACAAAACACAGGAAATCATTCATGAAATAAAACAGTAAAATTGAGGCCTAAGTTGTGGAATTTTTAACTTGTGGAGGTTCTAAGCTGTTCATCAAGGGGTACAATGTACCCTGGTTTTCCTTTTAGTTGAAAAGTCATTTCATGACCTAAATAGTGACATATTTATTTAGTACTCAATAAGGTTTGGTTATAATGATACAATTGATAAATTTACTTATCATAAAAAACATGATAATTAAGTTTAATCAATACTCTTCCCCTCACATATTGTGGTATTTATTAAAATGATTTTTGCTCACCAAAAAAGTGAACAGTTCATGGTTAATTTTACTGAATGATATGCCTAAATGAAATGAATGTCTTCTCTCAGATTTTTTTTCTGGTTATGTGTATATGTTTTCATTTCTCCAGGTTGTGCAATATGGATCAGTAAAAGGAATGCATATAGAGAGTTTGTTAAGAGTGATGATGGGTATTTATGCCCCAATATTCTTTGAAAACACCTCATGGCCTGACAGTATCAAGAATGATTTCTCTGCACAACTGCACAAGTTTCTTGCAACTCTGACAGACACACGATGGAAATTGGAAGGAAAGACTGTACTTTATATTCCAACAGAGGGAACAAAGATACCAACGGATGAGGCGGCTAAAAATAAAGAACTAGTGCAACGACTTGAAAGTAAGTGATTTCTAATTAAAGCTAAATATGCAATATGTTAATGCAATAGATGAGTAAGAAAAAAAACATAATTATATTACATCATTAAGTAAATGTAGTTATGAAATTACCCATTTGTGATGGTGTTTATTGTTGATTAACCTTTTCTAGCCATTTAACATTATTATAATGGCTGAGTATTACAGAGTCCCAATTTGATAAAATGATGAAAGAAGCAATAATCATAAATAAATAGTAGTCATGATAATTTTAATTGTAAATTTTCAGCTGCCATGATTCACTGGGCAAGACAAATCAAGGAGGTATTAAATACCCAGGATGCATTTGAGATGGCAGAAACCTCCGGACCTTTAGATGAGATAGAGTTTTGGAAAAACCGGTGTCAGGATTTGTCCGGAATTAGCATGCAGCTGGATAAACCTGGTGTGAAGAAAATTGAACAGATCTTAGAAACAGCAAAATCATCATATGTAGCCCCATTCAGAAAACTTTCCAGTCAGATAAAGGTTTGTATTGATGTATTTTCATTGAATAGAGGGGATTCTTTTTTGCTGATCATTCTTAGTAATTCATTTGCCCCCACATTGATGAACAGGTTAAGGAGGAACATATTATTTATAAAGCAAGGGAGATCAGCATTTTATTTTTGTCTTGCTTACTATAGTCTGTATTTCTCTGAACAACAATTCACCTTGTCCATTACATCTTCATATTCTATTAACATGCAATTCATTATTAATTTAGGGAAAATTTTGTACAAAGACAAAAAATTGATAATGTTTCTTATTAATGCCTGAAAAATACCTTTTTACTTCTTCACCAGCCATGATTTCATGGATGAAAATTTCCAAGGGTCATCCCGGAATTTGAAGAATTTTAAACTTCAGGAAAGGTTCCTTCAATTAACAAAATTGCTAATGATATTTAAGTTTTTTAATTCAGTGTAAACTCACTTTATTTTGTTTGTATACAGGAGGGTTCAAGACAAGCCGAGAGCAACCTGAAGTTTTTAATGGTTTTGAAGGACCCATGTTATGAACTGTCTGATGCCAAGCCATCACAGATACCAGCAATGATCCCAAAAATCCTCAACCTTATCAGAATGATCTGGGTGAATTCTGAGTTCTACAAGACTAGAGAGAGATTGACAGGAATTTTAAAGAAGGTAAAATTCTTTAAGCAATTAAAAATGCTGAGGTCATAAAACTTAAAAACCTAGAAATCCTTTCAATGATCAATTAGAGCACTTAAAACAGTAAAAAATGTTAAATATTATAAGGAAATACACTTGGACGTATCTTGAAAATTGATACATTTTTGTGATTCTCAGTGCAATTTGAATTCAAAGCATTTTATGCCTTTAATGCTTTTCATTTTAAGGTATCTTTGCACTACGAAAATGAACATTCTGGTTAACCAAAGTGAGTGAATGATATGAAATTTTACACAATAGTTATAGTTATAGAGTATAATACTGATGTAATTTTATGAAGGGAATTTCATATACTGTTTGTTCAGTTTGGCTCCTGTGGCAGAACTGTTACTGTTAATACAAATGCTATACTGTGATGCCTTATATGACCACATGATAATTAATCCCAGGAAATGGACTGAAATGCAGTTAAAATCAGTTTGATTCTTAATCAGCTACTACATTTGTAAATAAAAGCTACATGAAAAATATGTAGAAGATTTGAACTTTATTGTGAATTGAGTTTATGTTAGCTACAAGCTTCCAATACAACACAGTTCAAGATAAAGTAAAATATGTTTTTTTCAATTACAAATTAATTAGTATACTGAGCCATGTATCATTGTTAAAACAGTTAAGCAATGAAATTATCAGAAGATGTTGTAGTGAGATCAATCTGGAGAAGATATTTGATGGATATGTACAGAGTGGCATCAAATCCCTTAATGAATGTATCGACTGCTGTGAACAGTGGAAGGAAATTTATAACAAGGTAACTTCATTTTTATCTTTTTGTTTTGGTTTTTTAAGCACACTGAAGAATACCTTTCTGACATTTTGTCTGACACTGTAAGAAATGGTTTACCGTGACTTTGGTCAAGAATGTTTTTTTAAAAGTACAGTCATTTATAAGTATTGATTTAAATAGTAGGCTATAAAAATTTACAATCAACATCTAGCAATTTCAAGCAAGTGCTTAAAATATCCAACAAAAAAAACATTGAACTTATAATGGAAGGAAAGATAGATACATTAATTAGAAGCTGGATAAATATGTATTTTATAGTATGCATTTTTACAGTGACTCAAGGCCATTGAACTTGCAAAAAGGTAAAATGAATAAATTTTTGGAAATTTTAACAAGAAGTATAATAAAACCACTCTACCTTGATACAGTTGGGGAAAAATGTCTTCAAAAATTTATGTGATTTTATTGCATATATATATCGACTAATTGATTATTTATTTACAGACCTCCAAACTGCATCACAAGTTTTCTCCTGTTGGCTGGGTACTTGATAAGAGCAGTATTTTTGCCCAGATTGATGCTTTTGTTCAGAGATGTAAAGATCTGGGAGAGGTTTGTGTGTTCTTTCTTACTATAGATGTACTCTTTTGCTCAATATTACAGTTTTATTTTATATTTTGCCGTGTAGTTTTTTCAAAGAGTGAATCGTTGTCAACACAATTGAATTGAAAATACATTTATAAAATCAAATTGATATAATTGGATTTGAATTGAAGTATAGATATTAATCCTTTTGTTAAATGATGAAATTATGTAAATTAATATTTATATATTATTTGATATGAAAATACAAATTGTTATATGCTTAGAATTGATATCATTGTGTCTGAACTTTCATATGTAGTATATACAGTAAAATATTTAATGATGAAGAGAATTTCAAACTAACACTTTCTTTTTAAATATGAAAGAATAGTTTAGTTTGATATATAATTGTTATGATAAAAAATGTTTGTAAAATGTTCCTTTAATTGACTAATAACCTTTTAAAATTTCACAGGTCTGTCAAGCCCAGATACATTTTGCCCGTCGTGAGGAAGGGGATAAAACAGAGATGCCACATTTTGCGGGACAGAAGGGTCCAGAGATAATGAGAGGTCTTACAGAGATTGAAAACACTTTTGAGAAAAATCTAAACATGTTGAGAAATGTGAAGAAGACTATTCTGGATGTGAAGGCTACGTCTTGGCATGATGACTATAATAGGTCTGTTTGAACATTTTTCTTTTTTAATATCTCATTCTGTATATAGTCAGATAGCCTGCCCTAGAATTCATTGTAGGGGCAACTGTAGGGTTTACTGACACAGTCAAAGACATTTGAACTTTTTGGTAGAGTCTTTGCGTGTTATTTTGTGACAATTTGGTGGACGGAATTATTTTCATCATTTATTTGTCTTCCACCACCAAATTTTTGATATTTGTAGATAAGTTGGCAGTTCCTTGTAGGTAAACGAGTCCAGACCTTTTAATAAGTAATAACCTGCTGGTATATGACTGAAATGCTGATTTTAATTCTCACACAGAAGCCATGTGTAAAAATTTAAGTCTGCTTAGGATCCCAAGAGTGATCATATTCATTCATGATTTTGTATTTTCTTCACTATTTGTTTTTGATTTTTGTTTTGAGCCGCGATCAAGGAATTGATATGAATATATTGAACTTGTTATTTCAGGTTTCGAGCTGGGATCAAGGATCTTGAAGTGATGATGCAGAACGTAATCACGTCAGCATTTGAAACTGTAACAACAGTAGAGGGAGGTGTTGAGTTACTTGATATATTCATGCATCTGTCCGGCAGAGAGGTAAGACTTGTTAGCTCAATATGTAGTCACTTTATTTCATTATGCAGGTATGAATGTTTATCTGTAAACATTTTGAATTTGTTTTAATGCCTTTCATTTTGAATCCTTTGAAATGCTTCAAGTACTTCTTACAAATTGTCCTACATTTTTAATTGGATAAGTTGTCGCATTATTGTTTGAATCCATTCTGCCAGCAACTATAATTTTAGTTTTGCTAGTATTCATTTCTACAGTTTGTTCTATATGATAAATATTGGTCTGATTCTTGAATATTTCACTGTCTGATCAATTGAAAAAAAAATACATCTATTGATAGGATCCTTAAAATAAGTTAGAATATATATTATTTATAATCTCTTTCAAAAAGTAATTTAATGCGTATGTTTTTAAGAGTGTTACTCACACAAAAGAAATGGTTGTATTCTTATAGGCAATCAAGAGAACAATAGATAAGAAAACAGTAGATGTATATTCAATGTTTAATGAGGAGTTGAACGCAGTCAAGAAAGAGTTGACAGCAAAAACTATCCCGCAATCCTCATCTCATCCTAAATTTGCCGGTCAGGCTCTCTGGGCACGTCAACTGAAAAGACGTATCGAACGTAGCATGATGGTAAGTCAATACTCGTTACTTTTCGTGATGATTTTTTTAAAATAGGTTTTCTAACAGATTAAAGTGTAGATTTAGGTCAAGTGCTGGTTATAAACAATTTCTTCCATATTAATCTCTTACTACATTTTTCAAAGGTTTTCAACCATTCTTTAACAGTAAGATTGTCATCAAGTTCCCTGAAGCAATTTTAAAAGAATTATAGTCCCTTGTAGGTTTTCTTTTCATATATGTATAATTATCAAAAAACCTGATTTTGTGACAATTTCATGTCACTCAATAATTTCTGATACATTTATTTGGATCATGTATTTGAATAATGATGTTATGTAACTTTATATTATTTAAAAGGAAATGTCCTGAATAAAGGATTTCTGTAGTTTTGTAAAGATTTAAAGTGTCATAATTGTGTTCTAATTTCAAGGCTCTAGATCGAGCATTTTTCTTGCCTGTAATTGGATCAGGGAAGGAAGTGATGACTCAGTATCAACAGTTGTGTATGGCCCTGGACGAGTACATTAGGAAGACCTTCCATGAATGGACGCTCACCATCGACAAGGTAAAGATGATTTTTTGTTTTATCTCATTCTTTAACTAGATGTTTCTCGACCATGTAATCATCATATATTTATCTTGATATATATTGGATCTTATTACTTTCTTATTTAGTTATTAAGATTTTTTAACAGGTTTTATGGCCCAGTATAAGTGTTTGTAAGTTTATGTAAGTGAAGGTTATATATAGCAATAGATCATCTAAACACAGCCATATAACCTTTGAAATATATTATAGCAGATTTATAATACTGCACAATTTTTTACTTAGATAATAATAATGGAAAAAAATATTTTATTCGCAGGAACTGTGCTTATAGATAATAAAAATATCACAAACCAATTAAAAATGAAAATTATAAATATAGTATTAAGTATTATACAATAACCTATGTATAATCATATCTTATTGACCAAAAAAACAAAATTCAAGGTTTTTTATCAAAAGATGTTAAAAGATATAGACAAAAAGTTGTTATAATCAAAGAATATATAACTGGTGTTTTGAAATACATTATAATATTTCTGATTAATTAATGTTTTTTTTATGATTGATTTGCAGAAATATAGATGCAGTGAAATATTAGATATTGATGATGAAAATTACATGAATGTAATGAACCAGTGTGCTATATAGTCTGTTATACCACAGTGTAGATTATTATTTCTGATTTTAAAAGTGTGGTGTACACTCTAGCTTAAAAATGCAACTGTTTTTAGTTTCTATTTTGTTTTTTATTTTTCAACAGTTTAGCATTTCTGTAAATATTTTGTTTTCGTCCCATTCCTTTTCCCATATTACCCTATTGGTTAAAAGCTCAATGTTTTTTTTACTTCATGCACAATTTAGTTCCTTTTTGTCAAAATATCATATTTTGATATAAGTATTATTCATGAAATACATACAGGAGGGATGAGAAATGTGATATGTTGTTGTGGTGTTTGCAGGGCCAATCACTAAAGTTGTAAGATTTTGGGTCCAACCATTCTTTTATTTTTCATTAAAGAACTATTTGTTTCTATGTGATATTTATTTATCAGCAATAGAAAATGATAAAACTGTAATCTTAAAAACTTCAGCAAAACAAAATCAACAACAACAAAAACAGAAAAAAGAACAATGCTTAAAAGTCATGAAATGTTTTTTAGATTTTATTTCATTGATAGCTACTTATCTTTCTTTACTTAGTCAACATCATCAGTAATATAGAAAGCCTTGTTTGCAAGTTACACGTGAATTAACAGTTTAGTTTAATTTCCAGAGTCTTCTTTATTTCTTTCCAAATCTCCACTAAACAACCAAACTATTTAAATTATTTCTAGAAAGACTTTCTTACTTCTTAAGAAACAGTCTACATAGTCCTAGTAATAAGATTGGTATTTCTAATGACATTGTATATTTCTAGTTGGAACTTGTTGGTCCATCATTTACCCCCATTCTTCTCCAGGCTGGTAGTTGTTTCAAGTACGCATTGGAAAGGATATTTCTTTCATTATTGTTAGAATTTCTTTCCTATCTTGTGTTAGTTCTAAAAAGAAAGATAAACTTGCAATTTAACAATTTATTTGTAAAAAATTCTATGATTATATAATTTTGTTTTTCAAAAGCCTTTATGTTGCCACATCCTAGATAATATAATTATTTTTATATTGAATATATTTTTTGGAAATATTGTTAACAATAACATTGGAATATTTTTACAATTGTGTATTGTTGCCATTTTAAAATGCTAGGTTACCTTTTCCTCCTTAAATTGCTTCAACATTTCATAGTATACATATATATTAAGAATCATTAAAACCTGTTGTTTTTTGTTTAACATTTTCTTATATTTATCAAGCAAGAAAGAAGAGTTTCAAAAATGACCACTGCCAGGAGTCTTGTGACATTTTTTTCAACCATTTATTGAAAAGGATACTGCGAATATTTTTGTCATACATGAAATGAAACAAACTTATAATTGTTATTTAGCCTTCACACTGTTATTATACTTGTATAACAACTGTTATTATACATGTATAATCAAACATGAGCTGTGTCTTATTTTGATTTTGTTTGTTACAATAGGAACCTATGAAGCAACTAGAGGTACCATTGATGTGTAGAAGTACAGAGAGACCACCCATGCTGGACATCAACTTCAACAGGTTAATAATAAATACTCTTTACTCTAGTCTTCTTAAACTTTAATTTAGTACCATATCTTTTTTTCATCACAGTATCACATGTATGTTAAATTAAAAATTTTATAATATGTCCAAAACTTTGAGCATAACATGTTCAATTCAAGTTTTTTTTACAGCAGCACATGATTTTTGTGCTTGTCTGGTGAAAATGCATGTTTACGACTAAAAGCATGGTTCTATGTTGATAACAAGAGGGCCAGAAATGATAATCTCTAGCATTTAAAAGTTAAAGAGCTTCTTGTCAAATAATTATGCCCCCATTTCGAAGAAAAGGGGGTATATTGCTTTGCACTTGTCGGTCCGTCGGTCCGTCGGTCCGTAGACCAAATGGTTTCCGAGTGATAACTAAAGAACCCTTAGGCCTAGGAACTTCAAACTTGGTATGGTGATTGGTCATGACAAGTAGATGACCCCTATTGATTTTGGGGTCAAGGGGTCAAAGGTCAAGGTCACATTGACCTTGTAAGCAAAAACGATTTCCGATCAATAACTAAAGAACCTTAAGGCCTAGGAAATTCAAACTTGGTATGGTGATTGGTCATGATCAGTAGATGACCCCTATTGATTTTGGGGGTCAAGGGGTCAAAAGTCAAGGTCACATTGACCTTGTTAGCAAAAACGGTTTCCGATCAATAAGTAAAGAAACTTAAGGCCTAGGAACTTCAAACTTGGTATGGTGATTGGTCATGATCAGTAGATGACCCCTATTGATTTTGGGGTCAAGGGGTCAAAGGTCAAGGTCACATTGACCTCTTGGGTAAAAACAGTTTCCGATCAATAACAAAAGAACCCTTAGGCCTAGGAACTTCAAACTTGGTATGGTGATTGGTTATGACCAGCAGATGACCCCTATTGATTTTGGGGTTAAGGGGTCAAAGGTCAAGGTCACATTGACCTTGTAGGTAAAAACGGTTTCCGATCAATAACGAAAGAACCCTTAGGCCTAGGGACTTCAAACTTGATATGGTGATTGGTCATGATCAGTAGATGACCCCTATTGATTTTGGGGATCAAGGGGTCAAAGGTCAAGGTCACATTGACCTCTTGGGTAAAAACAGTTTCCGATCAATAACTAAAGAACCCTTAGGCCTAGGAACTTCAAACTTGGTATGGTGATTGGTCATGATCAGTAGATGACCCCTATTTGATTTTGGGGTCAAGGGGTCAAAGGTCAAGGTCACATTGACCTCTTGGGTAAAAACAGTTTCCGATCAATAACTAAAGAACCCTTAGGCCTAGGAACTTCAAACTTGGTATGGTGAATTGGTCATGACCAGCAGATGACCCCTATTGATTTTAGGGTTGAGGGGTCAAAGGGCAGGGTCACGTTGACCTTGTAGGTAAAATTGCTTTCCGATCAATAACTTAAGAACCCTTAGGCCTAGGAACTTCAAACTTGGTATGGTGATTGGTCATGACCAGCAGATGATCTATTGTTTTTGGGGTCAAGGGGTCAAAGGTCATGTAACATTGACCTTGTAGGTAAAAACTGTTTCCGATCAATTAACTAAAAACGCTTAGGCCTAGGAACTTCAAACTTTGTATGATGATTGGTGGTGACCAGCAAATGATCCCTATTGAGTTTTGGGTCAAGGGTCAAGGTCAAGGTCACATTGACCTTGTAAGTAAAAAACGGTTTCTGATCAATAACTGAAGAACGCTTAGGCCTAGGAACTTCAAACTTGGTATGGTGATTTTTCAATGACCAGCAGATTACCCCTATTGATTTTGGGATCAAGGGGTCAAAGGTCAAGGTCACATTGACCTTGTAAGTAAAAACGGTTTCTGATCAATAACTAAAGAACGCTTCGGCCTAGGAACTTTCAAACTTGGCATAGTGATTGGTCATGACCAGCAGATGACCCCTATTGATTTTGGGGTCAAAGGTCAAGTTCACATTGACGTTGTATGTTAAAACGGTTTCGGATCAATAATAAAAGAACCCTTAGGCCTAGGAACTTCAAACTTGGCATGGTGATTAGTCATGACCAGCAAATTACCCTATTGATTTTGGGTCAAGGGGTCAAAGGTCAAGGTCACATTGACCTTGTAGGTAAAAACGGTTTCTGATCAATTAACTAAAAACGCTTAGGCCTAGGAACTTCAAACTTTGTATGATGATTGGTCTTGACCAGCAGATGACCCCTATTGAGTTTTGGGTCAAGGGGTCAAAGGTCAAGGTCATGACCAGTAGATACTTGATAACCCTTATTAATTGTTTGATCACTGGGTCAGAAGTCATGCATAATTACCTTATCACATGAATAATTGGCTGCTGATAGGGGGCATACATGTTTTACAAACATATCTTGTTTGAATGTGACTTGATGTAGTATCTTCTGTTTCTATTTTCAAGTATCAGTATTGAAATTATCTTTGTATCTTCTATGTGTCTGTCACACATATTATATCATGTTTAGTCAATTAGGTGTTTAGATGTTAAACAGATTGGGCTTTTAACAAACTGTGATGCATCTACCTGAACAAAAAAAATATGAAAATGTGTTGGTTATCTGTTTAAGATATAAACATTTGTTTTTCCAACAGGGACTTGTTGAAGATGTTTCAGGAGATACACTACTGGGAGAGGTTGATGTTTGAGACACCCCACTATGCTGTAGATGTTTATAACAAGAGAGAAGATCTGAGAGGGCTCAGGGAACATGTTATGTTGGTTGTTAGAGATTACAATAGGTAACGCGTGCTTTCATATGCAACAAACATACCCATATATTTGAATGTAGTAAAACAGTGTCCCGAGAGCTATTTATAACATGTCAGTGATGTATCGTTTCTGAAAATAAAAGATCGGGAAACAAATCATCTGCTTTACTAATTTAAGTATAGAGAATGGAATGGTTAGATTAGAGGTATCGAGGGGTCTCCTCATTATTCATGTATTTTATCAATGGCATATTTCATTTTTCCAACTTTAATTCTGTTGATATTGACAATTATATGGAATAATTTAATATTATAATAACATATTAACCTTTAGAAAAGCTTAAGGCTGCTTTAAAATTAGTAACATGTTGGTATAAGTAAATTCAATATATTTTGCAAATTGAAACCCTCGGATGCAAAACAAATGTATGTATAATAATAACTGTCAATGATATATGGTTTATTTATATTCAGAATCATAGCAGCTCTATCTCCAGAGGGAGAGAGGTTTTGTTTAGAGAGAGAATCAGATTCCTAGACAAGAAGATACATCCAGGTCTCACAACGTTGACATGGGCGTCTAAGGGTATCTCAGACTTCTTTGTCTCCGATTGTCGCCTGCATTCTAGTAAGATACAGGGCATTGTTGATGATTATAAGGCAAGTGTTGTTTTAATTTTTTGATGGAAAATTACTTGCATCAATTAACTTTTATAAAGATATGTTGATTTGACTACAGAGATGTAAGTTTTGATTTGATTGTATGCAAATATTTTATGAATAAGGGAATTAAAGGCTCAGAATAAATATTTGCTTCTTAAGAAGGGGCAAATGTTTAATAATGGATTCAAAGCATAGTAGATGTTTATCACAAGAATTTAGTAGCACTGATGTGAAATAATTTGTGAAAAAGGTAGCAAATATTATCAAAGTGTTGTTTTGACTGCCATTCATAATACTTAATCTCTATAACTGTACAAATTGCCATAAAAAGTGAAAATTGTCAAAATATGCTACAAAATACTAGAAAAAAATTACTTTGTTTGAAAATGTAAAAATAAAAAAAAATTGAGAAAATTGAAAAAAATGTCATTTTTAGGGCTTAATGGGGCTTTAATTGAGGATATTTTACTGTTTATAGGGTGCTAACATGGAGATCTCTACAAAGTGTGTTAATATAAGTGAAATGTTGCTAGTGAAGATAGACAGTCGTAAAGTATATGAGAATATGGAGTTTGATGAATCTCAGGCCAGTCATAGATCTATTGTACAGAAGAGGTTAAAACAATATCATGATGAGATTATATCTACTATGAGGAGAACGTATGAAGTGTTTAAAAGCGATGGTGCTGAGGTATGTTCTTTTACATTGTATATAGCTTTATAGTATCTGAGGTAAAGATTTTTTGTATAATTAAAGGGACTCCAGTGAGTTTTTTTCACATGACAGGACTGGACAATTTTTTGTTGTTGAGATTTTTGTTCTATTTGAGAAAGGTCTAAACCAATAGCTTGTGTCAAAATTTCAGATTAATCGCTCATTCCGTTTTTCCAGAATACTTATTTACATTTTGTGAAATACCCAAAACGCTTATCACTCAATTTGTGCTAATATGACACAAAAATATGATTATCAATTTATTTCTGAGTATATTTCCTAATTATCTAATTATTTTGCCCCAGCTGATCTACGTAAAGTAAATTCAATTTTTTTATGCTTTTGGTCCTCAGTGGAGTTCCTTTAAAATCAAATCTTTTTGAAAGATACATGTTTATGCTAATATATTCTAAAAATGATTGTTTAATTTCATTTTAATAAATAGAAAAGACCTAAAAGATACTTATTTACTTTTACACACCTATTAGGCGAATTTCCCAGAACTATATTCTGGAATGTACAGAAGGTACCAGAAAACAGTGTTTATATATAGGTTTCCCAATTTGTGAATCATGTTAGTTTTATCGTAAAAAATATTGACACCCGCCCCCCCCCCCCCCCCAAATGTCAGCCATTTAGTCAAAGGTGGAAAATATTATTAAAATCAGGAACTATCTTATTACAAATGTATAAATGTTCATGTTCAGCTTAATTTTAGCATTGTTGTTATTAAAACATTTATATTGCCAATTTATTTTGCTTGGTTGCAATTTTATTAATTTTAGCACTGATATATACTTTTGATAAACAATTTTGTGTAACAATATTAGGTACAGTCGCACTGGCATCGTTATACTGAGAAGATGGACAAAATGGTGGAGGAAGCTTTTAGGCTGAATGTGAAATGGTCACTACAAGAACTGTCTAAAGCTGTCAATGGTGATGGAAAGTCTGCTCCTAACCCACTCTTCAGGGTTAAAGTGTGCCTTGAAGGAGATAAGGTATGTTAAACAGTGCTGTCCAAATATATATATTAAAAAAAAAAAATTGTAAAATTACGAGAATAAAGCACTCTTAAGTGAAGCATTTTTGAATGTTGTTATGCAAAAGTCACCAGCAATATTTTTTGCTGTGGTCAGCAGCTGAAGCTAATAGTCAGTTTGTCACACAAATTTTTGCTGAAAACATATCAAAATAAACTCTTAATCTCTTGAATTTCTTAAATGGACTTTTCAAGCTTCCATATTTAGAACTATCTATTATCTACTTTGGGATTATCAAATTGTTCAGTCAACAGTAAATAGAGCCTGGTCAGTCTACACTGATGTGCAGGTTACCCTGGCTCAGTACTGACAGCAAAGTCAGGTTATGGGTAAATATTCTTTCTTTAAAATCTTTCTTGTCATACTGATTTTGTTTAGCAAGTTCTTAAAGACTTTGAGGGATATACATGTATTTCAAAAAGAAAAGTAAGGCATTTGTTAATTTAAGAAAAAATTCATTACAGACATATTATGTTTATGTTTTTTACAGGTTGAATTTGCTCCAACATTGAAACAGTTGGCTACAATAGTAGGAAGTATAGGATCTCATTTGACAAATTCCATCTCGGATATACCCAGACTTCCTACAGTTCTGACAAAAAAGAAATCTACCAGAGATGTAAGTGCTTAATACAAAAACCTGTTACAAGTTTTATTATCACAATTACTTGTTAAGTTTGTACCGCCTCCGTGGTCAAGGGGTTAGAGTCGATGATTTCTAATCCAGTTACCTATCTGGCATGGGTTTGATCCCTGGGAGATGTTTTGGTAGTTTAGCACAGAGGAAAGTAGTCTAGTACTGGTGTAACTCTCCAGGAACGATGATTAGGAAACTACCCACCTATATGACCGAAATACTGTTGGGAAAGGCGTAAAATGAAACAAACAAACAAAACTTGTTAAGTTTGAATGATAAAAAGTCAATAAGTTTGACTTTACTGTGTTGAATGTCCATTAATTAAACATATTCATTGATCAATTCCTGATATCAAACATTTTATGGAGGTGTGTTTTACAAAGCACTGGCCATAAAGTATGCCAGATAGGGTAATAAATACAAGATAAGATTCAATTTCATAATTTTTTTATCTTTCACATCGAGAGCAAAAAAGGAGATATTTTTAAAACTTTCTTTCATAACATTGGTGGTACAGTATACCCATACCGGCTCAGATTTACCCACATTAGATTTCATTTGTGTTAATATTATTATTTCCACCAGCCGGTACATCAAGTGATAGCTAGAGATGAGGAGACAAAGAAGATACAAACAGTAATTAGTGCTGGTATGCAGAGTAATGCCCAGAACTTACAAAATTACCTCAGTACTTGGGACAACTACAGAGAAATCTGGGAGATCCACAAAGATGCCTTCATCCGTAGATACCAGAGGTTGAATCCCCAGGTCTCATCTTTTGATGCTGACATTGCAAGGTAAAGCAAAAAAATCAATTCAAATGAATATGTCAGAAACACAGAAATGGCAGTTTGATTTACAATAAGACATAACTTTCAATTTATTGAATTTTTTATTTATTGCATGTAAAAAATAAATTTGCTGAATGAATTATGAAAGGATGGGACTGTTCTTCTTTTTTAATGAGTTGAATGAGTAATAAGAAAACAATTCAGAAGTAAAGACATTGACTAGAACCAACAACTTTTTTTATGACAGAGCCATCAGTTGGCTTCTTAAAGCTGTATATGTTTTATCAAGGTAACTGTTCTTTATGTTCTCACCATTCTCGTTGGCATTTTTTTACATGTTCTTACCATAGATTTTGACATTACATGCATCAGAGTTCTATTGTTTTTTTATAGTCTCAAATTCTTCATGTCCAAAGGTTAAGAGTATTAAGCAATTTTAAAGCACTTTTTACTTCTTGATAGAAATCTTTCATTATTGTTGAACTCGTATCTCATCATTTCAGATACACTGAGGTGGCCAACAATGTACAGACACAGGAGACTATCTTGAACATCCAGTTTGTCTTGCTAGATTTGCTCTCCCCTGAAATACTCAATTCTCTCCCATTGTACAGAATGGCAGAACAAGTTTACCACACTTCTAAGTGAGATTGCCACTGGCAGGTTGAAGGAGCTGAATGAATTCTTGAAGGTTAATGCTGAAAAGTAAGTCAGATTATTGAGATTTTTTACAAGTGCCATACTGAGTTGTATGCCTAAAAGGGTTCATTTTTTGTCTGAATAGTTTGTTTTTTTGTTGGATTTTAAGTCCCATTAATACTGTAAAGGTCATATGGTGATTTTCCAGCTGTATTGGTAGAGGAAGACCATTTTTGTGAATTTTTTCAGGCACAAACAGGTACCTTACAAGAACATCTGACCTTCCATAAGCTAGTTGGAGAGCTTACTTACATGAAAATATCCAAAGTTCCTGACAGGATTTGAACCCATATTGATTTGATGCTAGAAAAAAGTAATGTTCAAATATATTTTGGTTACCAACAACCTGTCCTAGAATTTAAAGCTTGACAAGTAAATTGATATACAATATTGGAACAATAGTTGAGTGAAATAATATTGTTAAAAATTTCAGTGTAAGCAAGCCACCACAAACCCTTGATGAGCTAGGTACCAGTCTTGAACTATGGGGACTCACTCAATAGTGGTCTACCCAGCAACTGAAGCCAAATTCCCACCTCTACATGATCAATTTGCCATCCTGGAGAAATACGAGGTTACAATACCTGAAGATGTTAAACAGATGTTGAATGATCTAAGCACAGAATGGGTCACCTTCAAGAGAAACTCATTGAAGCAGAGGGAATGTTGAAAAAAGCACAAGGTTTGTAGTAGTGATTGCTTTATTTTCACATGCCAAAACTTATGTAAGTTAAAATCTAATG